TTATTCACAGGATGACTTGTGTTCTAGGCAGTGAACTTAATGAACTTTTGAATGATGACTATTTTCCCCACTGTTAACAATGTGAGCTTATCATGAATATGTTTAATTAATACTGAGTTATTCAAATAAAGGTTCTGGTGTCTACATTGCATATTTTGTTGTGATGTTTTGTTGTACCATCATAAATGGTACATTTTGAGGAGCAGACTGCCTAATTTGATGTCATTAAATTACACACAAAATTAGAGCTCAGGTTGCACCAGCAAGCACCATTTTCAGCATGCTGTTCTTGTTTTCGGCGGACGACAGAGGGGACACCTCCCTCTCCTTCTCTCTTCTCCGTTGTGCTCGGTCGCGGGAAAATGCTCCGCAGTTTCCAGACAAAGTTTACTAATACTTTTTTTTCTTGATTAGTAAATTTACTATTACCTAGAAAATTCCAGAGAGAGCCCAGATATACACATAATTATAGTAACGCCCATTCGAGTTCTGCATGTTCTTTTACAATGACCGCCAGTTTGCAGGTCATGTGCATAATAAATAACGTGTAGTCCGATAGTTTGCGATCTTGGGACTATTTACACGGTATGTCAAATATTTGATAATGTGAATAGGTAAAGCAGAAACGTTGGTTTTCCGCAGGTGCGGTGGCAGTGGATTGTTTTAGCTTCACATGTACATTAACGATTTGGAAAAGTTTTCCGATGTAGGTCGGATCAACTAAGATTCACTTTACTACAATCTGCTGCAATTTGGATTATCCATGAATATTTCCTACAATTTGTGCAAATGTACATCATCATGTATTAGTCCCAAGACCCTAGACAAAGCAATACAATTTTAACATGTCAAATATTTAGCCGATCTTATTCGGGAAAAAATGACAAATTAGGTAATTCTGGAAAGCATGCATGGCACACGTAAATCAAGCACATTATGTTAAGTAGTCTCAGATTGGAATTTAGGACAAATTATTTATTACATGAGATCATGCAAAATGAATTATTTTAGAAAGAAAAGGTAATTAACATTAAGATCTGAATGCAGAATTTCTAGAGTTTTGAAACAATGTTCTCTCAAAGCCTCACTGTAATAAAAGGTCCCTAAACCCACAAGATTTGTGCATATTGCAAGTCTTGACTACCTTCCAAAATCTGTATTATGTGGTTACCGGTACTTATTGTAAGATTACTACACAGTGCCAGAACCCCACACACCAATGGGGTCAGTTTGGTCGCTGTTATGTCTGCGTACATGCTTTTATGAGCATTCTCGATTGATTGACCGATTCATTCATTCATTCTTTACTTGATTCAAGTGAATGATTTATCTGTGCAGAATAGCCAGGTATGTAAATTTTTCTAAAGATTCAGTGATCATGTGTTTTCTTCTTCCTTTCTCACCCATGTCCAATGCCGTGTTTGTATATCCCTGCTATTTAAATAGATTTATTCAAATGTTTTGAAATACTGAATACTGCCCTCTTTAAGCATACAGGCTTAATAGCACAATCATTCCATTCACTTTTTTTAATAAAAAAAGAAGTCTACATTCAACACACAAGATATATCATCAAATTTAATAACGGTATGCAATCACATTGACCTATGATTAAAGAATGTATTAATGTGCATTTTTCTGCAAAGGCATTTGCAAGTTAGGTTTTGTTTTTTGTGCTAGGTTCCCTACATGTTACTGTTGGCTGTTCTGAATATTTCAATGTGTATTAAGTGCTAATGGGACAACACAATGTAGTGTATTTGCTATTACATGACAGGGCTTTGTAACAATCATACTGGCATTATGGCAAATATGCGCTTTCCCGGCATAAACCATGCTTGATCAAACATAAACACCCATACACCTTAAAGGTGTCCCCCCAAAATACATTTAGTGACTGACTCCTGCTCAGTGGCTTTGGCCTTTTCATTGAGTATGTACACATGTAGCACATCCATTCTGTGCAAGTTCCCACCAACAGTTAGTAGAAATCACAGTATTTTAAAAGTGTCAACATTAAATAGACAAAATAAATGTCTGGTGATTGTAAATTTAAAGCATTTCATCTTAGGTGACAGAACATTTCCATTTATCAGTTTAACGAGGAATTACTGAATAAAATAGAGTACACAACCAAATGCATACAACATGGCCGCAATGTTCATTCGGGAGATGTATATGGACAGTGTATTTTTGAGCATGGCAGTAAAAGCACCTATTGCGTAGCCGTAGATGCAGGTCAGAGATCAGTTTGAGGCAAAAGCTGAGAGAGAACATGTTGTCAAAAATAATAATAATAAAAAGAAAAAAGTTAATCGTGCAGTTCTAAACTTCCTTCATACTACATAGAGAAGAAGACAGCATGAATGAATGCTGCGCAGGGTACCCAGAAGTCACTTGTATACAGACTTACCGAATACTCCTAACCAATGATAGTGACAAAAAATAAATAAATGAAAAAAATAATAAAATATATCATAAACTAGTATGAAGTGAGTACACCAGCAGTTATTGGAATAGATCAGTCTGTGCAGTTATTCAAATCAGTCAGTCTGTGCGGTTTTAGAGTGCAACATGCTACATTTCAAAGACAGTGCGCGCATTGCGGTATTAGAGGTGAAGTGATATTGACATGAACGATAGATCAATAATGTGCATCATACAAACAAGAAAAACGGCACACCATGATATTGGCGTTAAAAATCCTTGCTCTATAAATAAGACAATCAACCGCAAGAACCAGATGAAAACACTGATGCTCATAACACTACAGTTCCACACATGTTGGAAAAACGTAGATCACTTATATTATTTACTGTTAAACACTCGGAGCCTCTCCCATTCCGAATACAAACACTTCGTTTCTGAGGGTAAAAAAAAACCTACCATTTTATTGGAAGCCGCAAATTGTAACATTTTAGCAATTGAACCCAAGTTTCTTCGCTGTTGCATTGTCAGTCCCCGTTCTGGCCCCACGTCAATGATGTCGAAAGCATCAGGAGCAACTATAGCTGGGTTCATGTAACGATAGTATACCAAGTTTCCAATGGCCTGCAAGAATCAGAAAAAAATGTATGTAAAATTAGGTACTATACAAAAAAAAAAAAACAATGTCCAACAATCATCCTATTTTAGACAACCAATAAAAAAGGATTTAAACAATTAATTCTAATATCTTGTTTTGTTGACTACTTTTTTCTATTTACAGGTGGTCAGCTGCTGACAATTCAATTTCTGGATCTACTACAACTTTGTGCAACCATGAGAACTAAAATCGAGATGAAAGTGAAATCCTGCTCCACTAACTTCAAAAAGATGAAAAAAACAGAGCACACTTACCTTGAGAACATCTTCGTCTTTTGCATCGGGAAATTTCTCATCCAGCGAATCACATAAAACCTTAGCCATGATACGAATACCATACCTGGTGATTTAATATTGATACTGAAATTGACAACTTCCCTAATTAAGGGTAGTGAGGCAATAGGGACGATTGACTACTAAGCAATTTGCTATGTCACAACTTTTATGTATCGTA